AGCAATTTGAAATGAATGAATATGTATGGAGCTAGTCTTGCTTACGTTGGCATTTTAGGTTTTGTGGTAATGCAGCAATATTGGCGGAGAGAGAAGGAGGTGCTGTGACTGCAGACACCATATCGAGAGCATTTAGAGCCACAGAGGAAGGGTTCACCTCGGTGGTCTCCGAGCTGTGGAGCTCTCGGCCTCAGTTAGCTACCGTCGGAGCTTGTTGTCTGGTGGGAGTGATATATCAGCAGACACTTTTCATCGCAAACCTAGGGGACTCTCGCGTTGTGTTGGGGAAGAAGGTTGGGAATACTGGTGGAATGGCGGCTATACAGTTGTCGACCGAGCATAATGCGAGCCTTGAGGCCATCAGGCACGAGCTCAAGGAGTTGCACCCAAATGATCCGCAGATTGTCGTGCTGAAACATGGAGTTTGGAGAGTGAAAGGAATCATTCAGGTTGATATTTTTTAGTCTTCTTGAATGATGCTCTAATTATGTTTCTTCCGAAACTCTCTACTATGTGTTGTGTTGCAGTGTATATATGCCTATAGGAATATGATTTAGCTGGCTCTTTAAGCTAGTAAAACACCTTACAAATATTTGCCAGGAAAATCAATAGACAGTTAAAGCTCTTCGAACTGTATAGGTGCCAATACCCAAAGTGCTTATATTTACAATGTTCATTTGCTAAAATTAGGAAGTCTGCTGTTAATATTATTTAAGTTATAAGCTGTTATATTGATTTTTCTAATAAGCATCAAAGCCTCAAATGTGACTTTCTATTTATAGAAAATGAACATTGTAATATGTGATTTTGAGGGATTTATACAGCTTTTTTTGGATAACTGAAATTGTTATGCCATTGATTCATACCCATTTCCTAGAAAGTTCTTAGCTATTGATTCAATAGTAGCGGGGAAAACCCTCTCACTTTGAAGCTCATCCGGCTGTATAAATCCTTCAAAATCACATATTTACAATGTTCATTTTCTATAAATAGAAAGTCACCTTTGATGCTCATTAAGTTAGAAACTGCTGTATGATTGACTCTTGCCAATCATTAGAAAGTTCTTGGTTCTTGACTCCTAGGATTTTGAGTTGAAAACTGAGAACTTAAAAAATCGATGCTATAACATTTTGTAACTGAACTAGCATTAACAGTAGCTTGCTATTTATAGCAAAAGAACATAAGAGATATCTGCACTTTCGACAACTATAAATCTTGAAAAGCTTCAGCAGTAAATTGATTTTCCAGTACAACTAAAATCAGCAGACGGTAAATTTCGAATAAACACTTGTAGTCAGGGAAAACTCTCCAACTTCTGAAGCTCTTCCAACTATATAATAAGCCCCAACGAATTGCACCTATTTACTATGTTCTTTTTCTATAAATAGAAAATCACAGCTAATACTAGTTAGTCGAGTAAGAAAGTGTTATATTCATTGGCTCTCACCTTCTGTAACTCCACAACTGGCTGAATCCTTTGACACTTGTACCAGCAATCTTATGAACTTTGTCATTGTATTTTGGTATGCAGGTCTCAAGATCTATAGGAGACGTGTACATGAAACATGCGCGGTTTAACAGGGAACCAATAAACTCAAAATTTAGGCTTCCAGAACCAATGGACATGCCTATCATGAGTGCCAGTCCGACCATCCTGGCTCATCCTCTCCATCCAAGCGATTCATTTCTTATATTTGCTTCTGATGGTCTCTGGGAACACTTGAGCAATGAAAAAGCTGTCGATATCGTACACAGCCATCCACACGCAGTAAGAACTTTCTTTCCCCCTCCTTTAACTATCATTTCCCCTTATCATTGTTATTTTTGTTTGATCATGCTTGCTTATAACTTGAGTGTAATGGACTGTTGGTGTCTTCATATTTGCTTGTTTTAGGCGTAGTTCGGATGAATGTTAACTCGTGAACTGCGAAAAAACTCATGTATGGCAGGACCAAACTAAACCAAAGTCCAACCCACCGTACACTACCCAATCCAATGAAACTTCATGGTGGACGAGGGTGGTGTCCTGCAAAACTAGGGTGTTTATGGTTCGAAATGAGTCACGCCTGAAAGAAACCAGGCCATCCCAATATATCATTATATATCTGCCACCGAGCTTAAGAATCAACCATTGGAGATTTCTTGAGTTAGTAAAATCATTATCGAGTCGATATAAAGATGATCTGCAATGGTTGCTTGTTTCTTTCTTTTCTAATTATGCCTTGTTGACTCTGCTCGTTTTTTATAGCGTAGATTGCAAATAACCCGACCATTCAAAATCAAACCAAGCCAAACATTAGTAAAAACGATAGGTTTTATTTTTCACAAGGATTCGAGTTGCTTGTCAGCTCAACTAAGGTTCATGGGTCAGTAGGTTGGAAAGGGTAAATCCAACCAAATCGACACATGTATGTACACCCGTAACTTCATTGATGATCTTCCATTTGTACATCTTTTGTTGATGGCACTCAGTTCAACCTTCTCGTCCCTTTGCTGCTCCTTTGTAGAAATGATTAGGAACAGAACTTAGCTTGGTGGTTTTTTATGAGGTATTATACTTGGCATGACTCGGATCCAGTGATCGAACAAGTTTCGGCCCTCGTAACAAGTTCATTACCTTTTCTGCAGGGAAGCGCGAAGAGGCTAGTGAAGGCGGCACTCCAGGAAGCAGCAAGGAAACGTGAGATGAGGTACTCGGACTTGAGGAAGATCGACAAGAAGGTGAGGCGCCATTTCCACGATGACATTACCGTCGTAGTTTTGTTCTTGAATCATGATCTCATATCGAGAGGCAGCGTTGTACATCCTCCAGTCTCCATGCGTAGTGCTTTGGAGCACTGAGAGAAGTTAGAGATCTCTCCTTCCATCATTATGTTTGTAGAGCTGCTGTTTCCTGAGGCGGGGAAAGCGCGCAGGAAAGGAAATTCTGATACTAATTGCTGAGAATGGACTTTGATCTCTCTTTTTTCTTTTTTAAGTTCCAGGAATTTGTATAATCATGTTTAGAGAGAGGGAAAGAAATGGCAGAACTTTTGTTACTTGCTAGTGAACCTTTTTTTTTTTTCTTTTTTTTTTCCTTGTTCATGTATACCTGATCCTTCAGATGTATTCTTCTTCCACTATTACTTATTTACTTCAATGAATCTCTTCCCCGCGAAGTTAAATCCTGTTTGCAGCTCCCTTTCGATCGAGAATTGTTGGTTTAGGAGTTCGATGTTATAGATAGTGTTCCTAGCGGTTCTTGCATACCGATAGAATACAATTTGACAGCAATGTTATTGAACTTTGATTCTTAATGAATGTATCACTGAAACATGAGCAAAAGGTTCACAAAAGATGGGGGTTAATGACAAGTTTGGTCACTCGGTTTATTAAAATGTGTCATGTTTAGTCACTGAAAAAATTTAATATCAATTTTGGTCACTCGAATTAGTAAAACGGTCCATTTTTAGTCACTCTCCGTTAAGTTTGTCTGATGTGGCAGTCAACCTTAACAGTTGACCGTTAAATGTCTTACGTGGCAATTAAAAAATTAATAAAAAGTAAATTTAATTCTTTTAATATTTCCACATCATTAAAATATAAAAATTAAAATTCCCCACCCCACCGGATTAATTTCTGATTAGACGAAAGATCGGAAACAAGAAATTAAAAAAGACCCGCCAAGTGCCCCACGTACGCCGCCGACGACAGCGATCCGGGAAGCTTCCCCTTCATGTTGTTGTAGGAAAGGTCCAGCGCCATGAAATAGCTCTCGGGCCCAAACGCGTCGGGTATCTCCCCTTCCAGCGTGTTCCTGCTCAGGTTTATTATCCCCAACCCCTTGCTACCCAGCAGCTTCGCCGGGATCTGACCGCCGATCGCGTTGCTGTCCAGATTTAGCGTCGACAGCACCGGTAGGTCTCCCAGCCAGCTGGGCAACGCCCCCGAAATCTGGTTCATTGATATGTCCAGGTCCGCCAGCCTGCACAAACGGATCGATTTTATGTGTATACATTTTTATTAATAATTTTCGGATCAATGCTTGAATCGAAGGTCATAGGTGGTCAATCCGTGGCTATATTATATGTTCATCTTTACAAATTGGACATGGAATCGGGAATGGGGCCGGTGAGCTGGTTCCTGCTAAGCAGAGCACGGCTGAGCGTTTTCAAGTTGTCGAAATCGGCGGGGATCCGGCCGGAGATTTGGTTGTTGCTGAGTTCGAGATGGTTCAAGCTCTGCAGCCTCGAAAGCGAGGCCGGGATTTCGACGGAGATTTTTTTTCCGGCGCGATTGAGGACGGTAAGGCAGTTTAGGTTGCCGATTTGGAAGGGATCTAGCCGGTGAGGCTGTTGCCGACGAGATCTAGGATGCGGAGGTTGGAGAGCGAAGAGACGCAGTCGAGGATTTCGTCGGACATGCCCTTCCAGTCGGCGATGATGAGCGTGGTGAAGCTGGTCGAGCTTGCAGATGGCAGGGGAGATGGTTCCGGTCATGTAGCCGGAAGTTCGGCCGGAGTTGGACGGTGAGGGCTTTTAATTTTTATATCTTAATCATTTAGAAATATTAAAAGAATTAAAATTATTTATTAATTTTTTAATTGCAACATCAGACATTTAACGGTCAACTGTTAAGGTTGACTGCCACATCAGACAAACTTAACGGAGAGTGACTAAAAATGGACCGTTTTACTAATTCGAGTGACCAAAATTGATATTAAATTTTTCCAATGACTAAACATGACACATTTTAATAAACCGAGTGACCAAACTTGTCATTTACCCCAAACGATGGAATATGTTGTTATGCTAGCAATTTTCAGTCTCAAAGATAAATTTGTTAAAAATCAACATTGAAGGAGGTATTTTATAATGACCATAAAGTTCAGTGACCATTTACATAATTGACCCCGTTGAAGGGTATTTTTGTAATCCAATTTCACTTTGGCAGTGATCCAGTTCCAGTATTCCAGTTACCTACACGGCTACACCAAAACTCTAAAAACTGACCGGCCCGCGAGCTAGCCGGCGATCAAATCGAAACCCCATTTCCACTCTAATGAAATCTTAGTCGCCTCATCTGCTCCCGAGAGAGCGCCAAAGCTACTGCTTCTGCCGTATTCTTCGCCGCCGATTCCCGCGCCGTTTTCATGGCCGTTAAATCGGTCCCGAATTCGTTTACTCTTCCGTTGATTTCTTTCTTGCTGCTGCTCTTGACTCGCTCTGACTCGGCGCCTCAACCCTTCAGGAGAGACCCAGGCCATCCGCAATGGCACCATGGCGCCTTCCACGATGTCAGAGAGAGCGTCCGATCCGACGTCCGCCGCATGCTTCACACTCGCGCCGAGGTTGCTTCTTTCTCACAACCTCTTTCTTCAGCTCTTGGTGGATTGAAATTCCTCGCCGTTGATTCTGTTCTGACTTGTCTCGTCGGAATTTAGGTTCCGTTTCAGGTCCCACTGGAGGTGAACGTCGTTCTCGTCGGTTTCAATGGCGACGGAGGATACCGGTACAGCTTGGACGTGCAGAAACTGGAAGAGTTTTTGAAACTCAGCTTTCCGACTCATAGACCTTCCTGCTTAGAGACCGGAGAGCTTCTCGATATCGAGCATCACCTCATCTACAATGTCTTCCCTGTAAGCGATTCTTTACTCGTCGGAGCCTAGGTGTGTGTATGATATGCAGATGAACTCAGATTGATGAATAATTGACTACTGCAAACAGGCTGGGCAGCCGGAGATGATTGCTCTGGAGAAGGCATTGAAAGAGGCCATGGTTCCTGCAGGAACTGCTCGAGAGGTTTGATGCATGGGTTTTCAACTGAAATTGCTGAGACTGATTTTTTTTTTTTACCAATAACGCTGGTGATTTTGGATGGATGGATGTCTGATATGGATACAATGTATATTAGACTGATTTTGGAAGAGAGGTCCCGTTGTTTGAAGTGGAGGCGACTGCTGTGGAGCCTATATTTCACAAATTCTATTCCTACATTTTTGACACTGATACCATGGGGTTCGCACAACATACAGAGCCTGATAGGCCCAATCCTGCTTCTATCTTTGTCGTTAACTTTGACAAGGTAAGGGTTTTCATGATTTGTGATGAAGATTTTGTCCTTTGATGATAGACTGAGTCAATGTGTGTTGGACTTTGGTGCTTAAGATACCCTTTTTCAGAACCATGTATGCTTTCTTCCATTCTTTTTGTAGTATTTGGCATGATTCGTTGATGGGCTTGCTTGGTCATTTTTTTTTTCAGGTCAGAATGGATCCTAGGAACAAGGAGGTTGATCTTGATAAATTGATGTTTAACACAATTGATCAGCTGTCTGAAGAAGATATGAAGAAACAAGAGGGTGATTACATTTATAGGTATCGGTATAATGGAGGGGGTGCAACACAAGTTTGGTTGAGCTCAGACAGGTATTATTTGATTGGATGATTTGTTACCTCTTTCGTTTTAGTGACCATGAGAAATGACTCAAGTTCCTAACTCAATTTTTAGCTGCATTCTTCACAAGTGACACTTTTAATCGTGGTTTTGGGGTGTAAATTTTTGTATATGTAAATCAGTAAATGGCTTCAGGGTCCACTTGGATGGGCTAGTCATTTTGAGAAATGGTACATTTTCCCAATAATTTTCTGTAAGCTGTCTTATACTTTGAGATTAATTCCTGTTGGTATGCAGGTTTGTAGTGATTGACTTGTCAGCTGGTCCTTGTACATATGGCAAGATTGAAACAGAAGAGGGAAGCGTCAGTACTAGAACAATGCCTCGGATTAGGAATGTGGTACTTTCAAAAGGATCAGCTGTAGGCACCATCAGTGATCATTCTAGTCATGAGATTTTTGTTGGGCATCTTTCTTCTCTGATATCAACCACAGTTGAGCATGTTGTAGCTCCAGACGTCAGGTTTTTCAATAAGCTTTTCCTTCAATTAAATATATATATATTTCATTTCTATCAATTGTAGTTTTGCTGTGGACCTGTGGGTTATTTTGAGCTGTACGTTGATGTGAGAACCATTGTTGTGTACGTTCTTTTAAGAATCTAATTGTTACTTGTAATCCTTCTATGTCTTAGGTTTGAGTCTGCTGATCTGACAACAAGGTTGCTTATACCAATCATTGTACTTCAGAACCATAATAGATACAATATCATGCAAGCTGGCCATAACTACAGCATAGACACAACTGAGATTGAGTCAGAGGTAAGTCAATTTTGTTTGGAGGCGTTTTTCTTTCTTATGTTGAATTGGTTCGATACTTGAGGTTTCGTTGTGTTCATGTAGGACGACTGAATTGGAGCCTTTTCTTTGTTATTCTTCACATTCTTGAAAATCTTTATGAATGAATTTTTATGACAAACTTTCTTCATCTCTTTTCTATAGCTGAGGAAGATGGTTCACAATGAGCAAGAGGTTGTAGTTATTGGTGGTTCACATGCATTACATCGACACGAAAAGTTGGCCATTGCTGTTTCCAAAGCAATGCGTGGTCATTCACTACAGGAGACTAGAAAGGATGGACGCTTCCATGTTCACACCAAGACATATCTGGATGGTGCTATGCTCAAAGAAGTGAGTTGACTTTCACTTCAACAGTGCTTCTTTTCTTAAAAAAATATATTCATTAATGCTATTGTTTATTGAGTTATGTGTACATTGTACATAATGCAATCAACTCTATGCAAATTTTTCTCTAATCCTGGGGTCAGTCTAAAAAATGGGAAAGCTACTAACAGGAATTTTTTCCAGGAGATGGGTTGTATTAACCATGGTCAGGACCCATATGCTCCATGGACTTTAAATTGTTCTTGACACTGCCTCATTACAGGAGATGGAGCGGTCTGCTGATGTGCTTGCCGCTGGTTTACTCGAGGTGGCTGACCCCTCCCTGTCTAGTATATATTTCCTCAAACAGGTATGCTGCTGAAGTTTATGGCAGAAGAAAAATAGAACTGATTGCATCCTCTCTAGTATAAGCTTTTGTCATCTCATTATCCGGTTTACATTTCAATATAATGAATCGTGTATTTGGGCAGCACTGGGATGACGAATCTGATGGCTCTACTGATTCCATTCTTAAACATAAACCTCTATGGGCTGGTTACGAATTTAACCGTGGCAAGAGAAAGGAGAAGAAGCAAGGAGATATCTATCGAACTTACGGGACGAGAGTTGTTCCTGTGTAATTAAACTTTTGTGCCTGCTCTTTTCATTTCTCTTATTGCAGGCAAGCTGCATCAATGTTCTTATTCTTTCTGTTTTAGTTAACCACCCTCACAAAAATGCTTAGGATGTACTCTCGTATTGCAGCTTCGTGCTATCGTTGGCTGATGTGGATCCTCAACTTATGATGGAGGAAGAGAGCCTCGTTTGGACTAGCAACGATGTTGTCATTGTGCTTCAACATCAAGCCGATGCAGTACCTCTAAGGTTTATGAACTCGAACTTGTAGCTGTGCCTTTAATTCAATCCTTGTGTGAAGTTTCTCATGGATACCTTCCTTTGCAACAGCTATGTTTCAGAGATTGATAGAAGGACAGCCCTTCCATCTCTGTCGCAGCGTCACATAATGGCTGGCCTCGCATCCGCCGTGGGTGGGTTGAGTGCCCCATATGAGAAGGCGTCCCACGTGCATGAGAGGCCAGTTGTCAATTGGCTGCTTGCAGCTGGATGTCACCCATTTGGCCCGTTTTCCAACAGTTCTCGCACCAGTAAACTGCTACAAGATGTTGCATTGGTAAGAGAAAACTAACTACTTCTTACTCCCTTGACTTTCAATCAAATACTTGTATTTGTTATCTTTGTTTCATGGCCGTTGAGAATTTTAGAAACTGAAATTTTGTTTTAGGGGAAGGAAGGGAAAAGGGTGTGTTTGGAAATGGTTTTTCTTTACAGCCTGTTTGGAAAGCAATAAATTTTAAGAAATGGAATTCCATTTTCTAAAATGAAATGAATTCTCATATTTGGAACACTTTTTTTATGAGAAATGGAAATCATTTCCTACAAAATTGTGGAAATACATTTCCGATCAAAACTGGTCGGAATTGGTTTATATTTCATTGGAATTTGTGGGGCCCATTGCTACTTTAACTAGTAATCTCCATTCTAGCCTTGTATTCCTCTGCATTACAGTTATTAATTGAGTTATTTTTTTCTTTTGTCAATCTCCTCCTCCACACGTTGCATAACAATTTAGACTTTTGATTTCATGATTTTTTTTTGTCCAGATCTAGAAGCTATGGGCGCTTCATCACTCATTTCTTTTGGAAATTTTGTTTTGCATCAATCTCTTTCCATTTGTTTGTGGTTATATTAATAGATTATAGGGACACAATAGTAAAAGTATGTATAAGAATTCATTTCCATCTTCTTCCAACACAAAAACTAGATATGATTTCCCAAATTTTAGGATTTATTCCAAACAAAAATTATGAAAAGGAATTCGTACATGAATTCTAATTCTCATAGGAAATGGAATTCTATTCCTATAGGAATTGATTCCAAACAGGCTGTTAGTGATGCTGCTTTGAATATAGAGTATCAGGACCATCATTTGAGGTATTTTCTAACTGAACCAAAAAATTAGAGGGAGCAAACACCATCTGATAACAAGACCATAACATTTACTTAACATGGTTTATACAATGCACGTTGAGATTGAGTTCTGAAGCTAATTTTTCTTCTCTTTTCTGTTTCACAAGAGGAACACGATCTATGCTCGGGTGGATGCTGCACTTCATAAGATCCGTGATACATCAGAGGTGATTTGTACTGATATTTCCTATCTATCAGCTTCATACTGAATCCAAATTAAACGAGCTTTTTCTTGGCAGATTGTCCAGGTCTTTGCATCGGAGCACCTGAAAACCCCGCTGGGGGAGCCTGTGAGAGCCAAGAAGAACAAAACAACTACCGAACTATGGTTGGAGAAGTTCTACAAGAAAACAACCAACCTGCCTGAACCCTTCCCACATGAACTGGTTGAACGACTTGAGAAGTACCTCGACGTAAGTATAACAATCTCTTCCGGGTCAATTACATAAACCGTCACTAAGATTTGAGATCATTAAGAAATTGTTCATTGTGTTTGATCTTTAACAAATTTGTCACTGAAGTTTCAAATGATTAAGGAAACGGTTAGTTTATCGGTCGAGTTTTTTGGTTAAATTGCCCAGATCTGTGTTTTGCCAAAGCAATTATAAAAAATGTCACAGATACGTTCTAATTAGTTATCTGGTAGGGAGAGGAAGACATTAGAGTATTTTCACATAATATGAGTTTGAATCGGATTGTGTATAATGTAGATGGGTCTTCTTTGTCAGCTAATTACATGCACTATGGCACGGTAGTTGCAAGACTAGGATTCTGTTGGAGTTCAAGTTTCAGTGACTAATTTGCTATTGATCCCAATGCCACGCTTTCTAAGCTCTTAAGTTTTAACACATTTTGTCGACTCCTTGACGAACAGAATCTCGAGGAGCAGCTTGTCGACCTGTCATCTTTGCTGTACGATCACCGACTGCAGGATGCACACTTGAACAGCTCGGAAATTCTCCAGAGCTCGATCTTCACGCAACAGTAAGTCCCCATGCGGAAGGAACTCATTATTCCATAACCGTATCTAGGTTGAAATTCAGAGAATTCTGTGCTGACTTCTCTTCCAATGCCAGGTACGTGGAGCATGTGTTGTCGAGCGAGAAGGAGAAGATGAAGTGCTGCAAGATCGAGTACAAGTATCCGTATCACTCGTCGCAAACTTACGTCTATGGAGGGATCCTTCTGGCTGGGTTCGTAGTGTACTTTCTTGTCATTTTCTTCTCCAATCCAGTCCGGTGAGTTATACAATCCACCTCTTTCTTGACCACAGCTACCAGAACCTGCTGGTAGCTTGTGTGCATTATTATCTTGGAGAAAGGAATTTTGGTCTTGTTTCCGCCTGTTTTACAAGTTGTAACTAACCTTCCATATACGAACGAACTCCACTTAGCACAAGGATGTCGCTTAGATTTAGTTATAACTGAAAAACATTTGTCTTTTCTCATTACAATTAGAGCAAAATGTCGTCATTTTCCCTTGCAAACATCAAGGAGTTATGTGGGAAGACGCTTCAAAAATCAAAACTTATAGAGGGGTGGCAAAGGAATTCGATTTAGGGAGGATTGGTAGATTAATGGATCAAATGGATTGGTGGATTAAATCATAGATTCAATTGACATCTAAAAAGTGGACCAATATGTATATTTTGAAATATTTAGGTACTAAAAGATTGATCATAAAAAAATTAAATACTAATTATTAGCCAAAAAACAAAATTATTTGTTAGTAAGGTAAAAGCGTAAATACTAATTGTTATCCTAATCTTTTCCTCATTCTTTTTTATAAGCCAAACCTATATTTTACTAATAATTAGCAAAAAAATTTGTAATGTATCTCTTCAAATATATTATAAGGGTTTGAGAAAATCACCCTATCCACGTCAGCCTTGGAGAGCTCTCCTTAATTTTCAGAATTAGGGTTGTTTTTTCTCTTTTTTTTCGTGTTTTTTGCTAAGACGCGGTTACCACCAATAATAATTAAATTATTGTTAAACAACGTGACGCTTCTATTATTCAAACTAAAACATTTTAATTAGGATTTTTTCCTTTTGCTAAGAGACGGTTACCACCAATAATTCTTTTGTTAACTAACGTGGCTCTTTTATTATTATTTTTAATAACCCTTCTATTATTCAATTCAAACTAAAACGTTTGCAGTTTTTTATTTTGTAATTTTCCCTGCCTTCTGCTAAGAACAGTTACCCGCTATTATTTTTTAATCAAGTTTATCCTTCTACTCTTCACAGTTTAATTAATGAATTTAAAAAATAAATTGGAGAACCAGATGTTCATCTACAGATCTTTTGGGAACGTGTGGCTTTATTAATTAGGCTTTCCATGATAAATTTTGAAGATGGCTTCTTAAGCCATTTTTAACCCGATTTTTGCTTTCATGTTTAATATTATCTTTTTAATAAGAATTTTATATTAATAATAACATATATATAATATATAATTTTATTCTATAAAATTTATAGATTTCAAATACAAAATAAAATATTATAATTTTGATTTAGATTCAATAAGCCTCTTTAAATGTACATACAAGTAAGAAATACGAGAAAATTTCATTCTTGACTTCAAGTGAATAAATGTTTGAAACATTTTTAATTCATGATCACATATATTTATAGATTTAATTGTAAAAATATAAATACTACCTGCCCAGAGGGTAGGGTCTATGCTAGTCAAAATATTAGTAATTTTTACATTATTGTTAATAATTTTGTAACTCTATTCTTAGTTAAAATACATAAGTTTTTGAATGTTGACCTTCATTTGTCTAATAAAAAAGAATGCGGGAAAGGTTTGACTAATAATGAGTATTTATCCTAAAATAAATTTTAGATATAAGTTGTAAAGTATAAAAAGTACAAGTACTAAACTATAATTTGTAAACAATTCATGAATTCACCAATCAATCAAATTAGATTTGAATCAAATGAAGGGTATTAGTTGGACTTTTAAGTTAATAGATTGGATTTGTTAGTAAACGGTATATGATCCACGATTGAACCTCTCCCAACAACTCGAGTTATTGGGATCAACTGGTTCTTGACATGGTATCAGAGCCTTCTGTAACCGTGAGGTATTCTGTTCGATTCCCGGTGACCCCCATCTGTTTCTGTTAAGCACACGGTGTTTTAAAGAAGGGGGGGTTAATAAACGATATATGATCCACGATTGAACCTCTCCCAACAACTCGAGAGTGAATAGATTGGATAAAATATAAAATTGTTACGTGAAATCCACAAAGGCAATTTTGTCAGCTTAAGTGACGACTACAATGAGTAAAGACGCTTTATGAGGAGGAAAGGAATAACTGCTCCATTCCTTGACATACATGAAAGGGAGCGGATAGTATAACAACTAGGGGTGTCAGTTCGGGTCGGGTTCGATTACCCGAACCCAAACGCGATAAGGACTTGCGGGTTCCGGTTACCCAAAACCCGAAAATTCCTTATGGGTTCGGGTTTGGTTAAAGCAAAATTGAAACCCGAAAACCCGAACGCCTAAGAATACGAGCTGAGTTCTATTCATTGGAGGTTTTTAGACGAAATCCGAAAAACCGATAAGCAAAACCGAACCCGAAACCAAAAAACCCGAAAACCCGAAAATGTATATAATCGGGTCGGTTTCGGGTAAACCCGAAAAACCGAACCCAAATGAACACCCCTAATAACAACATCATTAGTGTTGTTATAGTAACATCATAATTCATTAAGGGTAAATGAGTAAAGTTACACAAAAATAAATATAAATATAAAATTATTCAACCGCTTCTACCGCTTCCCGGTCGCCACTCGCAGGCGACGCTCTGCTTCTTTCGGGTCGCCACTCGTAGGCGTTTCTCTCCTTCTTCCCGGTCGCCACTCGCATGCAAAGGATCATAGAACTTTGTGTTTGCTCTCTTTGGAGAATGGGAGGTCAATCTGCTGATGGAGAACGGAACATCAGCGCCGACCTCTGCTGACGGCAACTCTAACGTCGAACAAGGGAGTCAATCTGCCATCGACGGAAATAGGGTGAGTTACTCAACGACGCACTCGGATGAGGGGGTCGTTTGGAAGTTGCGATAGTTTTGTTGAGATTGTTATTATGCATGTATTGTTTACAATGCATCGTTTTTCTGTTTTTTTAGCAGAAACAATACATGGATTGTTTCTGTGATGTGACAGAAACTATCACTCATTTTGAGTGATTGTTATATCTCAACTTTTAGTTGTGATTGTTGAGATAGTTGAGTTGAGATTGTTTTGTCTCAGCTTTTAGCTAATGCGACATACACAATCACACATACCAAACGTTGTATTCTATAATGCATCAAATTCAACAATACATGTATAATATTATACATGTATTCTCAACAATACATCTATTTAACAATCGCAACTTCCAAACGACCCCGAGAGCTACGGCGGAGGCGGAGGGAAGATGTAGCGGAACCGCAAGTCGCTGCGCTGTGGGTGCCAAGCCTACATACGCGTTGTCAAACGGGCGGATTTAGATTTCCGCGTCCTTGAGTGGCGAGTTACAGGTTTCAACAATTTTCTCAATCAAGTACTGTTGAAATCTAGCCAACTCTCTCTTCTTCCATCTTACTGCGGCATATCACTAGATGACAAGAGCAGGATTTGTATATTTCCCAAAGCTGGGTTGTCGGTTAGTCATATGTTGAGGTTTTTTTTTTTTTTGACACAGTCATATGTTGAGGTTGATGGAATGAAGGATGAAGATTATAGCTTCAAGTGTGAGTTCAAGATAGATGGGAACAATAGATTGTCTCATAATACAAACCACTAATCTTTCAAAACATAACAGAAATAACACAAAAAATACTATAATTATTTTTAAAGCATACCAGAAATCTCCTAATATATACCACAAATTGCGTAAAACATACTAGAGACACCACAAAGCAAACCACAACTATTTCTAAAACACACCAAAAACCTTCTAATGCAAACCACAAATGCGATAAAACAAACCACAAAAAAGCATACTAGAAACCTTCTAAAGCAAACCACAAGTCTCCTAAAACAAACCAGAAATCTCACAAAACAACCCATAAATATTTTGAAAACACACCAGAAACACCCTAATGCAAACCACAAACACGGAAAAGCAAACCACAAAAAAACAAACAATAAACGTCCTAATGCAGACCACAAATATATTAAAATGAACCAGAAACCTCATAATGCAAACCACAAAATGTTTGAAAGCAAACCAGAAACTTCTTAATGCAAACCACAAACACGATAAAGCAAACCACAAAATGCATAAAAAATATGAGAAACCAAACCATAAATCTCACAATGCAGACCATAACATCCGGCGGTTTGTTGACCAAACTCCGATGACCGTCAGTGAGCAGATTCCGACGCCTATAGGCATATTTTGGCCCCGGTGACTAGATTCTGACGCCGGTAAGCATATTCCGACCACGGTGAGCATATTCCGATGACAAAATAGCATATTTCGGCGACAAAAAGCATATTCCGGTGACCGAATTCCGACAACCAAAATTTTGGGCAGAATTTTTTAATTATTTTATAATTTTATTTTATTTTTTTCATAATGACAATTATACCCCTGCTTTGATTTTACACTAGGTCAACTCAGCTAATAAAAAGTCATCACAACCCTAATTTCCTATTGTTTGGAGACTAGTGTTGTTATAGTATATAGTCCCTATATCAAAGGATTCGCGGTTCTAAAAAGAAAATTCGGGCTCTATATAACATTATAACTATTGATAAGGAAGAGTTATACTCGGAACTACTTCCCCATTTCTCCTCTCTTTCCACTTTGTTACTATTACAATCTGTTCCTCGGTTTACGTTAGTGGGTTTCTCCACTATTTAGGAATAGCTTTCTGTTATGTTTTCCAGTGTATAAATACTTATCAATAATACAATCAGAATTTCTAAGACAATTGCATGGTATCAGAGCTTTAAGGAACTCAAACAAGTTACAAACCTCTTTTTCTTCTTCCTTTTTCTGTTCTCTGCTTCCTCCTTCCATGGCTACTTCTTCAACTACCTCTGATTCTTCTTCCCCTTCCATTCAATCTTCCTCCCCACAACGTATTATGCTGCCTTCTAATCCTCAGCTCACAATCAAATTGACCCCTACCAATTATTTGCTCTGACGTGCCCGAATTTATCCTATGCTACGGTGCCTAGGGATGGCAATGAGTCGGGTTGGGCAGGATTTTGCCAACCCAAATCCAAACCCGTGGGTTTATCCACACAAAAAAAAAAAAACCCGAGGTAAAACCTGTTGGGTTTGAAAAACTCAAACCCAACCCAACACGCTGGGTATCCGTGGGTAGATGGGTACCCGTGGGTTTTTGTGGTAAAAATATTTACAATAACAATTAACAAGAAACTATCAAAATAAAAATCAAATACAAAACTCACCATACAAACTATCCATACATAAAACACCATTCTAGAAAATTCAAGCAAATCACACACTATCCATACAAATTGTTCAGACAACAAACTAAAAAGTTCAAGAAATTCACAAATTATCCATACACAACATGATTAATTAAAGTTTACTCCTCCTTGAA